GTTGGCCGGTGCTTTTGAAAACCGTCGGTTATACCACTAAAACCGCCGGCAAAAACCGACGGTAATCAGTGAATTTCCTGTAGTGGTCTGGCAGAGGTGAGGGCCTCCAATGGTGGTTTATCGGAGTAACGACATCAGGCGATGGTCCAGCGAAGTTGAGGGCCTCCAATGGTGGTACGACGGAGGTGAGGGCCTCCAGTGGTGGTTCGGTGGAGTAACAATGTCAGTCGATGGTCCGGTGGAGGTGAGGGCCTCCAGTGGTGGTCCGGCGGAGGTGAGGGCCTCTAGTGGTGGTCTGGAAGAGTAACGACGTTAGGCGGTGGTCCGCTGGAGTTGAGGGCCTCTAGTGTAGTTCGGTGGAGGTGAGGGTCTCAAGTGGTGATCCATTGGAGTAACGACATCAGATAGTGGTCTGGCGGAGGTGAGGGCCTCCAGTGGTGATATGGTGGAGTAACGATATCAGGCGGTGGTTCGGCGAAGGTGAGGGTCTCTTGTGATGGTCAGGTGGAAGTGAGGTCCTCCAGTGGTGGTTCGGCGAGACTCCGACGGTGGTCCGGCCGAACCAAGGCTGTGGTCGAGGAGGAGCTTCTTCCTTCTCTTATGCCTTCTCTTCTCTTCTTGCTTCGGTCCCTTCTGAAGATAAATGAGGGGTATGTTTATAGAATTTTGAGTGGCATGACCTGTAAATATGTGAGAGATCAAGAGCAAATGGGGAGTGGTTGGCTGGACGACTGACATTGAATCCCTTGATTGTGGACCGTTCATCATACATGTAAAAATCTTAGTGATGTCGGAATTCGGCGATCTTGAGCTCGTTGGATACGTCTCGTAGATCCGCTCGATTCAAATATAAGCACGTAATGTTTGGAAGCCATTTGGTAATCCAAATTGTGGTTCAAACCTTCCAACAGCGCTTCGGGTCCTTGATTTGGACTCATTTGGGCTCGAATTGAGTCGAATTTGGTGTCGTTGGGTTCGTATTTCCGAGACGTTCAGTTCGACTATAAGTTTGCTGAAATCGGAGTGCGGATGGTCCCAATTTTAATTTTGGAAGTTTCCAACTTGATTTTGCATCGAGATTCGTGCCCTGTCAAGATAATTTTTTGATGACGTATCAAGTAATAATAATAATATCACTTATCATTAAGTATCATTACTTAATACTTTAATTATAATTAATTTATATGATCATAAAATATCAGCCTTTCAATGACCCGATTAGTAAAGTAGATGTATTAGATCTGATTTATGTTAAGAAAAATAGAGTTGGACCGATAAAGACTTGGAAAGAATTAGAAAGGACATTTTCTTATATTTAAATGAGAATTCGACTTTAAATCAGTTATAAAGAAGATAAAAAAAAGTGTAACTGGTCTCAAATAGTGAGATAAAAACTTGATGTTATTATTGTTGTTGATTATAGTCAAATTAATCAATTTCTCTAATTAGAATTAATTAATTAAAATTTAAAATTTTGGAAATATTTTTTTTTCCAGTCTCTAATTAGATTTTTTTTGCTATAGTTAGTAATCCAATTTCCTTCAACTTTTATTTGAAGTAACTTGTTTAATTCAAACACATTGTGCTTCAAAAAGTGTGAAAATTAAGACTTACAATATATATTCATATATTTTAAATGAGATAAGACTTAAGTTTCGTTTGGGACAGCTTTCATACTGCTTCTTAAAGTAGTTTTTTAGTACAAAAGTTTTAATTTTTTTAATAAAAAGCTGCTTTAAGAAACAGTAAGAAAGCCATCCCAAACAAAGCCTTAGATTTGTTTGGCTAAGTCTTTGTTTGTGATGGTTTTCTTACTGCTTCTTAACTCAGTTTTCTAATATATAAAACTACTTTAAAAAAAAATAGTAAAAAAATTATCCCAAATAAAATTTTATTAAAAAATATTTCACATCGGTCAATTTAATGCAAATGAAATTTTAATATGATTATGAGTTACAAATATACGAGCAAATATACTGGAATCAAAAGTACGGGTTATCACATACATGATATCCTCTAAATATGATGCATGATCATTGCTTGCTTTAACATGTGAATCTTGGCGAATCATAGATGCTCGTCCACTGGAATAATTATTAGGTCCGGACACCGGACGTAGCTCTACATCCGGAGGCCAATAACATGTCGCCACGTGCTCTTACTCTTTACCGCGGGACCCGACGACCCGACCCGGACCGGAACCCGGGATTGCTATGTTCGCGTATTGCTAGGTATTGCTCGGTATTGATAGGTATTGCTCGATATTGATAGGTATTGATAGGTATTGCTCGATATTGCTAGGTATTGCTTGATAATAACGAGAAATACCACTCTATCAAGACTAATACCTAGCAATACCGAGGAATACCGAGCAATACCTAGCAATACCGAGAAATACCTAGCAAAACCGGGGTATTGCTCGGTATTGGTCTTCACGGAATGGTATTTCTCGTTATTGTCGAGAAATATCGATCAATACCGAGCAATACGCGAACATAACAATCCCGGGTCCGGTCCGGATCGGGTTGTCGGGTCGCACGGTAAAAAATAAGGGCACGTGACACCATTTAACTGGCATCCGAACGTAAAGCTACGTCAGAACACCGAACCAAATAAAAATTCCGTCCACTGCCATATACAATGAATCGTTTTATTATGATCCAAAACAATAAATTATATTTATATTAATGATGTTATTATTTCAATGTGTAATTTATTGTGTAGTGTTGTATTAAATTAGAGCATTTAATATTTATATTCAAAATAATTGCCAATATAATGGTCAGTAATTAAATTATATATTCCTTCTCAAGTATAAAATTGAATATATTCTTTTCATCATCTTGAAACTTTATCAAATGTGCTCTCTTATTTTTTATATTGTATCAGTGCTCATAATCTCCAAAGGGGTGATCTTATGTACTAGTCGTTTCGTCCTAGATCGTTCACAGTAGTAGATATATAAAGGGCTTAACATCCTAGCTTTTTATGAAGATCCAATGCCCATACAAATAAAAAAGAGTGCAATAATCATAAGAGAAATATGATTCGGCATAGGGTGGATCCGCCCTTGGTGGAGTTTAGATATAATCACCTTAAGAAACTTTTCATTAGAGATCTATCTCATTAAGGTGTTGTATGGGACAATTTTTTTAATGCTGTTTAAAACAACTTTTTAGTTAAAATTTTTTTGAATTAGAAGTTTTTTGTACTAGAAAGTTGTTTTAGAAAGCAATGAAAAATCTGTCTCAAATGAAGCCTAAGTGAGAACTAGAAGTACATTTTGAAATAAATTCATTCACTTGGCATTTGTTATCTCAAATACATGTTGTAGATGCTGATAAAAAAACCCTTGAAAAGGGGAAAAAATTACGCGGCCTAGCCCAGTTTGAATGAATACACTATTATTTGTAGTTAATTACAAATGAGGTCCTTCCTTGGGGGAAAGCATTGGCTTAATGTACATCATATGAAGTACATTACATGGTATGAATACAAAAAATCCCAGTTGATGTGTTTGTTTGGTCTGAAGGACCATAGTCGATGGGCGACGTAAGTTAGCAGTATCGTAGTAGGCGGTTGACGGAGGTCAGAAGGACTGTAGTCAGACGGCGGAGGTCAGAAAGACGGTGTCGGGTAGAAGTCCATCAATGGGCAGAAATCCAACATAAGATAGATGTCTGGTGAAAGTCCGATAATTGGCAGAAATCCAGCATCAGGTAGAAATTTGACGAAGAGTGGAGGTCCGACGTCTGGTAGAAGTCGGACGTCAGTTGGTGGTCGAGGAGAACTCCGACGTTAGATGATATTCAGGGAGAACTCCGATGTTACTTGGAGTTCTAGTGAAACTCTGACATTACTTGAAAGGCGGGCGTAATTCCCATGTTATTTTGAGGTTAGGCAGAATTTTGGGGTCGAGTAGAACTCCGATGTTGTTCGGAAGTCCGGCAGAATTCCGGCGTCGGTTAGAACTCTAGCAGTGGTCGAGGAGGAGTTATTCCCTCCTATCATTCTCTTCTCATTCTCTGCTTCTTCCTTCTTCTTGCTTCTTGCTTGGCTCCCCTCTCGTAAGAAATGAGAGGTCTATTTATATATATTATGGAGTGACATGACTTGTAAATAGGTGAGAGATCAGGGTAAATAGGGAGTGATCGGATGGACGGCCGATATTGAATCATTTGATCGTGGACCGTTCATCAGACATTTGAAGGCCTTAATGATGATGAAATTTGGCAATCTTGGGCTCGATGGATTTGTCTCGTCGAGCCGCTCGATTCGACTATAAGCACGTCATTTTTGAAAACCATTTGGCAACTCAAATTGTTGTACGAACTTTCCAACAGCTCGTAAGGTCCTTGATTTGGACTCATTTGGGCTCGGATTGAGTTGAATTTGGCATCGTTGGGTTCGTATTTCCGAGACGCTCAGTTTGACTATAATTTGCTAAAATCAGAGTTCAGGTGATCCCAAATTTAATTGTTGAAGTTTCCAATTTGATTTTTTTCTTGAGATTCGTGCCCGATCAAGATAATTTTTTGATGACATATCAGATACAATTAGGTCAAAGTGTGATTAGTGCTAAGTGGGTCTTAATAATAAGGCAAATGACTTTTAACACCATTGTTAAAATAGGGCTAGATTAATATCTTAAGGCCAAAGTAAGATTAAAGAAAATTCAAGAACCAAATGAGAAACTTACGGTCTTTCTTGAATTACAAGTGAGGCATAGCAATAAAGGGATATTTATTTGTTTCTTAGATCAAATACATAAATAATTTGCTCATCAGATTTAACTTAGAGAAAGAAAGTCACCCTAAATGAAGCCATAATCTCATAGCTTTGTGCCCTATAGAGATAGATTATGTTGTTATAAATAGGCGTCACATAGCTACTGTGACTCAAGTAATCATTAGAAGATTATGAATAATAACTAGATTATGATTTATGATAAATAATACCGGCGCTAAATATTTAGCAAAAGATTAAATCTAGAACACAGCTATTCGAAGATGCTTCTTGGAGGGCATATATCTGAAACTGAAATCTTCTGTAAATTGCTCTGTAAGACAGTTTCTGCACATGATCTATCTCCTACATTTGTTTTAAAAAAAAAATCAGGGAATTTTTACAGTAATTCGCCCAAATGATGTCGATCAAATCTTATTCAGCTAACCACTAATCCCCTTGACCAAAAAGCATGCATCTTCCTTTGATTCATGACAGTTCATTCAACCAAAGTTGGCATCCTTCTAAACGTTTTCTTCCCAGTCACCTCCGCCTTCCGGCCTCATCATCGTTCTCCCCTCCTTTCCGGCAAACCACTGCACCGTCTTCCGCGCGATCGGCAGCCACATCTGCCTCAATTTCTCCTCTTTCTCTCCATGGCTCCCCGACGGCCGATAACTCCTCGCCGCCGTGATATCCGACATACACCTACTGGCGGGGGAGATCAAAGCCGTCATCTCTAGAGCCGAGAACTCACTCGAACAGTCCTCCGCCGGCATTTGCATCTGCAACGCCTTGCTCTCCAATCTCCTCTTCCTCTCCATCTCCTCCTTTACCCTCGAAACCCCCTCCGCCGCGACCTCCGGCGAAATCGCTTCAGTGATCACGCAGCGACCTGAACCAGCCGGTTCAAATCTCCTGCTCGATATCACGCGCAGCATCTCAGAATCAAGACTGATCAAATCGGCCGAATTGAAATCGCTCCATCGGCCCCGAAAGACTACTTGGGAAACAAGTATCCGGTGCTTGAAGTTGTGTTGCGGCGCCGCTTGCTTGCCGAAGGCGGCCAATTTCAGCCTCTCCGCCCAGCGGAAGCTGGGCCTTGGGCCGCCGGTTGGGGAGCGCTCGCGCTCGACGTAGAGCTCGAGACCGGATTCGCTGCCCTCTTCCACGATTTCGGCTGCGGGCAGGCCCGTCGGGTCGCGGAGGCAACGTGAACTGGCGGAGTATTTGAAGAAAGCGATGTCGTCAACGTCGACGCGAGTACGGCAAAGAGGGCAGGATGAGTGAGCTTCGAGCCATCTGTCAATACAGTCCATATGGAACGCGTGCTTACAGCGGGGAAGGAGGCGGAGGATCTCGGCGTCGTCGAAGCGGGAGAGACAGACGGAGCATTCGAGACCTTCACGGGATCCTTTGAGCGCGGAGAATCGGAAGAAGGGCAGGGATTCGATCACCGCTTTGTCAATACCGGAAGCTCGGCCATCATCGCGGTGAATTCTGTTACCTGAGATCATGATGCCGGTAGTGGTGAAGAGGTTGGCACCGTTGGCGTGACAGAACTTGCCGTACATGAGGAGGAGAAAGGTTAGGGAGAACATGATGGAGAAGATTCCGATCACGACGGCGATGCTCGGCCGGAAGGTTACCTGCACGTTGCCTCCAGAAGAGCTGCCGCTTTCGTCGGCGTTAGGCGATGAAGGCAGCTGCGCCGCCGCGCCGGCGACGGCTATGAGGAGGAGTATTTGCAGAGGAGGGCCGGTCATCTCTTTGGCATCGCTATGGAGTTAATCTGGGTTGATTAGAGAGATTTTTTATTTAACGAGGGGTATAACGCTATGCTATCCCTTAGATCTTTGAAATTGCTCTTAATTATTTCAGGGCAGTAGAAGAGACTATTGTGAATCCAACCGTTTTATAATTATTTTTATTTTTTATACAAATAAAATATAATATTTAACAAATTATATAAGGAATGGAGTACCCATTAATTTAATTGATATAAAATTAAGAAAATTACAAGACATTGAATTTGGATTATGCTTATGAGCTTTTAGAAGCCCTTTGATTGCTAGGTAGAGTTTCAGAATTCTCTCTCATTGAATTGGTCTCTTTGTTGGGACCTTAGGCTAACAATTAAGAGATTCTGGGTTCGAGTTTTGTGTATACGATATATCATGTATGTATAAGCTTATCTTAACAGATCTAAAAATCCTTAAAAAAAGTGCCGTATATGTTAAACATAATCTATTTATAAAAAAATTATGAGTATTTCGATTATTTTTGACAAAATTTTCAGCTCGCACTGATGGATTAGAATGATTCTTTTTAAATAGTTTATTTTTTAAATATTTAATTATCTAATCTCATCAAAATTATAAAACATAATTCTAATGATCACAAAATTAATTTTAAAAATTTCAATGCAAATATTTGTGTCAATAATCACACTTTATCTGGTAAAATTTTTCGAGGATATATTAAATAAGATTTATAATTATATTAGCCTCTAATAAAGATAAAGAGGCGAGTTTGAGAGAGTCAATGAGGCTAATTAAAAAAAAAATCCCAAAAAAAGAGATCCATCATAATTTATTAGAAAAGTTGCCTTAAGTATACATAACAAGGCAATACTAACATTTGCTTTAGTTTTGATGAAAAATTATTATGTCCGGAATCTGGATGATGTTCAGACTCCAATCACATGAAGACACATGGATTTTCTCTCTTTTGTAGTCATGGTATGTACAAGAGAGAAAATTCACGTGCCTTGACATGATTAATTGGAATCCAAATGAAAAGCTAAATCTCGACTCCGCATATAATAATTTCTTGTTTTGATGAGCGACTAATGACAACTAAAATACTGAATAGATGACGAACGCTAAAATTAAGCGAAGATGTGTGACATCTTTTAACTTTTACATTGCCATCACTCTATCTTTCAACTTGAAGCTTACTTATGTTTATAAGTAGTATATGGCGTTCTTGCTTGTTATTAACTTCCCTTTTTCTTAATATAATTGCTTCCACTTTTTTCATTCATAGAAGGCAAATCCACCCATTTATCTATATGTAAAAACCACATCAAAACAAAACAAAGTCATTTGATCGAATGCTTTGATCAGGTCATATATCAGGCCGGTGGCAGTCAAATAATTATATAGTTTAAAACCTCATAAGAGAGAGAATTTACACACTAAAAAGTCAAAATTACTAGATTGATAAGCAAGACGTAATCCTCTTCCTCTGATTACTCTTATTTGCACCGACTAATTGAAGAGAGAATTCATGCTCTAAAAAAAAAACTATAAAAAAATGTAAATCATACCTCCTAAATTTGATTAGTCAGCACCCAAACGTCAGGTCCGAATAATTTTTGGTATAACGTTGCTGGAGTTGCTTCGAATTTGGCTCGACTTTTTTTGTTCATATCATTGATCGTGGTACGCTTCATAGATACGTCGGGGGTCATGACGGAACAAAATTTGTTATAAGGGGATTTTTGAAATTCCGCTTGTTTTTTTTTTTTTTTCACTGCTCTATTTTTATCCTATAAATATGTTGTAAAGAGCATAGAGTTCGTAAGCCATTTGTACTCCACTTCTTCTCTTTAGTGAAGCCGTTTTCTAGGGGTGTCAATTCGGGTTGATGGATTGGTTTGGGTCGGACCCGAGTTAACCTAGATCTAAACGGGTCAACCCGAACCTGACGAGTTTTTGCAAACGGGTCGGATATTTCAACCCGACCCCAACTCATGCGGGTTGCCGAGTTGATGCAACCCGACCCGGATTTAGGAGATTTGGCTGAAGAAGTGCTAGCTGAGCTCCCGTCGCTACTTCCAGTTCCTATTCAAAGTTGGCTACAAAGCAGCGACAATGAAGCGAGCGGAGATACTTCGAGTATTGATGTTTAGTTGTAGTTAAGAGGAAATCTGTGGGGGCAAGAAGCGGTGGAAGGATACAAAAAAGGGTTTCTTCTTTGGAAGGGAGCTCCGACGGTCCGACCATATCTCACACGCGAGGTCCTCTCAAGTACAGGATGCCCCGTCCGCAAAGCCCAGGTGCATTGACGTCGCTACCGAGCCTAACGTTTGTCTCTATGCTTGGCTAGGGCTTTGCCCTAGCCGTTCTCTGCTGGCGGTGCTTGACTTCTTCTGCGTGCCGAGGGAAGTTCTTTTCCCCTTACATTTTCTTTGTTTCCGAATGGCGGTTTGCCTTTCTTTCTGATCCTGATTTTCTGGATGGTTCGGCTAGGTCCCACTCGTTTTTGGAAGCTTTGGCGGGATCTTCTACTGGTAGATTTTCTGATCTTATTCGGTCTTCTTTTCGTGGCGTTCCTGCTCTTTTGGTGTCGGAAGAGGAGTTCTTTTCTCTTGGCGAACCATTTAAGTTTTCGCTTGTTGGCTTCTTCCCTTCGCGGTGGCCTTCGCTCGCATCAATTCGAATTTTTTTTTTCAGTCTTCGTTTAAATGGTGCTTTCTCTGTGACTGTGTTGGATTCATCTCATGTTCTCATTAAGCTGGAGAATGATCTTGACTATAGTAGGGTGTTTTGTCATTGGTCTTATTTGGTTTTCAATTGCTTCATGAAGGTGTCCAAATGGTCTCCGTCCGGTGACATTGGGGATGAGTCTCCCATTGTCCCGATTTGGATCTCATTCCCTAATTTGCGTCCCCATTATTTCTCTCCTCGTATCTTGAATGGATTGGGGCTTCTCTTTGGTAATCCGCTGAAAGTGGACAATGCCACTGCGATGGGGTCTCGCCCGTCTGTTGCCCGTGTGCTGGTGGAAATTGATATCATGAAGAAATTTTCAGACAAGATTTGGTTAGGTCCTAAGAAACTTGGGTATTTCCAGCAAGTTATTATGGAGGGTTTTCCTCTCTTTTGTTCCAAATGTAAGCGTCTTGGTCATGCTTTTGGTGACTGCCGTCCGACACTTGATGTTAGTTTGCCTGTTGCTCCTCCTTTGTCTAAACCATATTTACGGGTTTCTGATGATATTGATATTCTTGTTAGCGAGGGGGATGTTGGGAAGGATACGACCCTTATCCTTCCTAATCCTATTATTGCTGTTCCGTCTCCTATTGTTTTACCTCCTCTGTGTCAGGATATTTCTGTGGCCGTGTCTCCTGTTGTTGTGCCCGTTATTGGTGATTTTGTGGTTGAGTTAATTACATCTTACCAATTTCAGTCTCCGGTTGTCCCTGTTTCTATTGCTGCTATTTGTTCGGTTGGCTCTCCTGTTGTTTTGGTGGACTCCCCTATCCATGCTAGTAATGAATGTGTTGTGGGTGTGCCTTCTGTCGGTCAAGTGTCTTGCCCTGCTCTCTCCCCTACAGCTCTTGTGCTTGCTGATGTTATTTCTCCTGATGTTGCTCCTGCCCTTATGGCTGTTTCTAATAGTAACTGTTGTATTAATCTTAGTGATAATCCGATTGTTGGTGATGGTGCGAAATTGTCAGTTGATTATTCTGTTTCTTTTGTGGATAGTGGTGAGGATACCTTGGCTTCTATTGAGGAGGAAGGTATTGAAAAGCCTCTAGTGGATGTGCCAATTTCTATCGTTTCAAATGTTAAAATGTTAACCCATGTTGCGAGAGATGTTAGGTGGAAATGTGATTGGTTACATGATGACATGGCTATTGATAGTTTATTGATAACACCCTGGAAACGGGCTCACTCGATAATTTTATTAAGCAACGTAAACGGAGTTCAAAGAAGAAATGAGTTTCTTCTTTTGGAAGTTATGGTTTATGTCGGTCTGAGCCCGATTTTCTTTCATTTTTGTCCTACCTTTCTTAGTTTGCTTTGCCACTAATGTTTTTTTTAATTATCATTAATTGTAATTCCATTGATGTGACCCTTTTTGCGGCCTTGTGCTGTATCTTTATATCTTAATGAAATTTTTTGTTTTAAAAAGAAATGACAGCGACCGGAGTCCTCGAGTGTGGGCGGGTCAACTCGAACCTGACTTGTTTTTTGAAACGGGTCAAAAATTCAAATCCGAACCCTACCCATTTGCTAACCGGGTCAACCTAAACCCCGATTTTTCCGGGTAGGATGGTCCGAGTCGTTTCAGGCTGTGTCAAAAATTGACACCCCTATCATTCTCCCTTATCCCATGTGATTTTTCTCAGATTTGAATTTTCCACAAACTTTTTGTATTCGTTTATGTTTTGTATAGATCGTGATTTATTAAGGCCAAATTTTCGGAACAAGCGTATTTGTTTCCTATTTTAGCGGAAGAAGCGTGGTTAGAAATTAATTTAAAAACAAGCAAATACCCTGAATATTCTGACGCATTTTAGAATGCGTGAAAAAGTTAAGCGCATTAAGAATACGCTATTAAATTAAGCGCATTTTCTGGACATAGAAAATCAGATGAAAGAGGTAGAGTGTGGGCAAGGAGAGAGAGAGTGTATGCGCAGGAAGAGAGAGAATGTGTGGGCGGGGAGATAGATGAGGAATGCAGAGAGAGAAAGAGAAAAAGCTGGAGAGAGATAAAAGACTAAAAGTTATGTTGTCTTTATTTTTTATAAAAATATATATATTATTTTTATTTATTAAGTAATCCTCTTCCTCTGATTACTCTTATTTGCACCGACTAATTGAAGAGAGAATTCATGCTCTAAAAAAAAAAACTATAAAAAAATGTAAATCATACCTCCTAAATTTGATTAGTCAGCACCTAAACGTCAGGTCCGAATAATTTTTGGTCTAACGTTGCTGGAGTTGCTTCGAATTTGGCTCGACTTTTTTTGTTCATATCATTGATCGTGGTACGATTCATAGATATGTCGGGGGTCTAAGGGGAGCCTTGCATGACGGAACAAACTTTTTTGTAAGGGGATTTTTGAAATTCCGCTTTTTTTTTTCAGTGCTCT